AGCACATGAGTCTGTGTGAGCACATGAGTATCAGATGAGCACATGAGAACAGTATGAACAGATTGTCTCTACGTTCTGCTGGAGCGAGAGAGAATCTGTCCGATACGCTCATTTATTCCCACATTTGAGCTTTTTCAAACTAATGCTGTGAATTTGAGACGCTGGTTGAGCTGCCGCGCCGCTTATTGATTTTGAGAAGTAATTTCAACGTCTTAGTGGAGAATAAATCCATAAAAAGTGCAGTGATCTAATCATCTCGTGGTTTTCTTTGTTTTACAGTTTTTATATTTGTAAGTTTCTGTTTTCAGTCATTTCTTTAGCGTCTCTCCTTCCGTTGTCCTTCCCTCTGCTCCTTCTCACCTGCTCTCATGTTCCTGATCTTTCCCGGCGCTGCTCTCTCTCCCTGTGACCTCCCGTCCTCTCAGGTTATCATCAGGCACTCTGTCAAAACAAATGGTCTGCTACGACCTCGCCCCGCAGCCAGAACGGGAGATGCAATAACAACAGTTTCATCTCGGGTCTATTCTTGGAGAGTAAACTGAGCTGAGAAGGTCACGGTGCTCTCCGTTTAAGCCTCTTTAACTTCACACGAGTACGAGGAAATCAATTGTTCTGAATAATTAAAGAACGTTGTAGAAGAAAAGAAAACTAGAAGCCAGAACTCCAAATAAAAACCTAGAATAAGGACTTTATTTAGCTGCTGGGTTGTACGTTCAACAGTATGGCATGCTCTGTGCCAAATAATTATTTTTCAACCGTCGAACATTTGCCTCAGTTCTTTTCAACCTTACAAGAGACGACAAGTTTCATCTGACGATGCTCACTGCAACAACAAACATTCACCAAGAATCTTATAAAACAGGAAACTTTTATGATTGTTTTCCAAACTGAACGGAGAGAGCTCCATTAACTGGGGGGGCGACAACCTGATCCAGCACCACGTCAATAATCTGTGATGTGTTTAGGTGCCAGGTAATCAAAGGTTTTAAAACATAAGCTGTAAGAGTTTCAAATTAATACTAAATGTGACAGGAAGTCCGTACAGAGGGAAGCAGGAGGACTCTGTGTTTTCAGGCCTGTCAGTCCCAACGTGTCTGTTTTCACACTGACGGGGTTCTGTGCTCTCACAACATGGAGCTGTGGTTTATTTTCGATGGGAACATTTCAAACAGGAGTTCGTGAAACTTGGACTCCAGCGACAGATTTTGTGCTGCAGACCTTCAAATTAAAAGAACACGTCGTGGACAACACAGATGGAGAAGTAGCTTCTGTTTGAGCAGAGCTGATGGATTCTAATGGTTTGGCTGCTTGAAGAGCTTTCAGCTTGTTTGGCTGATTAACGTACATTCATATAAGGAACTATGAGAGGCCACACGTCCAGCTGTGTAAACACAAACAGAAAAAGAAAAGCGTGTAAAAAGGAAACGTGCGCGTTTCATCATTTGTATTCAGAAGTTGAAATTTCCAAGTTCCAGGTCAGAAAATTCAATGGACGCCCAACATGAAGGTTTGAGTTCTGACCTGGAACATTTTAGATCCCTGACCAGGCAGGACCTCGAGCGGTCTTCGTCGCTGTAATTAACCTTTAATTTCACTTCTGCCAGTTTCTTCGCTTTAAGAAGGTCACACGTTGAAATGTTGGACTAATCAGTCATTAGCTTGTGCTGCTAACGTTAGTTAGCCTAGTTACTGAACACAGCAGTTAGCTCCTTTTACTCCAAGTTCCCTCCATTATCTTATTTTATCACTTTTATTTTTATTATTTTTTATATTATCGCTTACTCTGACATTGGGTCTCGGGGGCAGCAGCAGGGAGGCCCAGACTCTCTTTCCACAGTCCCTCAGTTACCAGGAGAGACTCGGAGTAGAACCACTGCTCCTCCACATCCAGAGGAGCCAGTTGAGGAGGTTCATCTGGTAAGGATGCTCCCTGGGCACCTCCTTAGGGAGGTGCTTCATGTCCGTCTGGGAGGAGACCCCGGGGAAGACCCAGGACACACTGGAGAGACCATGTCTCTCTGTTGGTCTGGGAACACCTTGGGGTCCTCCCAGAAGAGCTGGAAGAGGCTGTGGAGAGAGATGTCTGGGCCTCCCTGCTCAAGATGCTGCCCCAAGACCTGAGTCCAGAACAAGAGGAAGATGATGGATGGATGGATGGATGATGGATGGAGTGATGGTTGGATGGGTGGATGGATGGATGGGTGGATGGAGGGATGATGGATGGATGGAGGGATGGGTGGATTGATGGGTGGATGGATGGGTGAGTGAATAATGGATGGATGGATGTTGGATGGATGAGTGGATGGATGGATGATGGATGGATGGATGGGTGGAGGGATGGATAGATGATGGATGGATGGTGGAGGGATAGATGGATGGATGGATGGGTGAGTGAATGATGGATGGATGGATTTTGGATGGATGGATGAATGGATGGATGGGTGGGTAGATGGATGGGTGGATGGATGGATGGATAGATGATTGATGGGTGGATGGATGGGTGGATGGATGGATGATGGATGGATGATGGATGGGCAGCAGCTTTTCCTTTGACTTATATTTGGATGTTCTTGTAGCTGAAGTCGTTGGTGGAGCGTTCGACGAGTGTCAGAATCTTCTTGTAAATTGGGTCGAGCTGAACCAGAACCTGGCACTTCTTCCCCAAAGAGCCTCAGGAGACTTGAAATCAATTCATCTTTTTTATGTGGAGCCTGAGAGGCCTTCACTTCCCTCAAACCGCTCCTGTAAATTAGGCAAATGAGCCACGATAAGTGTTGCTGGTCCCAGAAGTGGCCCACAGCTCCATCCTCACGTCCTCAACATTGATCCATTGATCCATTGATCCATTGATCCATTGTCCACGTCAAACTAAGAGGCCCCATGTTCCTGCGACCCCTGCTGTAGATCAGCGTTCTGAACTGGGATGTGTCTCCCTGTCACATTTCCCCAGAAGAGCGATGAAAGAAAATCTTCTTGACATCCAGGCATGTGTCTTCAGTTCGAGCTGAAACGCTTCGTGAAGGAGCAGATCCGTTGCTGCGGTCCGTGTTAAAGATGTCTTTGTTTTTCACTTTGTTTCAGAAGGGTCATCATGAAATACGAGAGCTCCGTCAGTTCCACTTCACCAGCTGGCCCGACCACGGCGTTCCCTGCTACGCCACGGGCCTGCTGGGCTTCATACGGCAGGTCAAGTTCCTGAACCCGCCTGACGCTGGACCCGTGGCGGTCCACTGCAGGTAAGAAGGTCGACTCCGGTTCTGATGGATACCGGCTGACAAGGCGGGTACATGGAAATATTGTGTTGGGACTTAATTACAAAGTTTGGCTGAACCTCAGAGACACTGGTAAACAAAACAAAAAACTATTTTTAGATCGATTTTCTACTTTGACATATGAAATGTTCTTTTTTTTACATAACTGAAGAACGTTTCTACTTAAAAACAATAGCTTCCATCATTTTCCCTCAAGGTCACAGTGTCATTGTTTCCATCATACCGAGCTCCTAAAAATAAAATGAGATATAAACCTTTCCAACTAGTTTCTAGTCCACCCCCTGCAGGCTTGGATCGAAGCGGAGAGGAAAATAAGAACTATTTTAGGGTTTTCTATTTCTTCTGTTGAAATTATACGTTCTGTTCTGATGAGTTAACACTGAGCATAATGTTTTTAAATTATTGTGGCAAAATAAAGAATGCTGCATTCATAATTAGCAGGTTTTAAAGTTAACGGGTAGTTAGTGATAAAACATGAATCTGTTTACGTAGTATTAATATGTTTAAGAAACTTATTTCTTTCTGAAAGTTTTTATTAGTAAAACATCTTTTCATTTGAATATGAAACAGTGATTAGAAACAACATGAAGAAGGAAAACATGCTGCATAAAGTGTTATTTATTATTTGTGAAAATAAGACGGTTATTATAGTTTATTCTCAAAAACATGGCTTACATTTAGTGTTTTTATTTTAAAGAATATATATATATATATATATATATATATATATATACTGTATATATATGACATGAAAATAAAACCTGTCCTGGAAGATCCTGATAGTTTTATTAACATAAATAAAATCCTTTTCATTTATATATTTAAATAAAAATATCAGCTGACTTTTACGAACATTTAAGAGTTCAAGGTTCTTTGTCATTCACATCACATGTGGTACATGAGGTGGAACAAAATTGTGTACTCAAGGTCCCAGTTACATCCAACAACAGCAAAAAATCATAAAAAGAAACCGTAAAAAAGGATTTAAGATATTCACTAAACAATAATAATGTAGAATAATACAGTGTATTAAACAGCAGCCTGAACATGAGTCTGTGTGAGCAGATGGGTCTGGATACAGCATCTTAAAGACAAGAGATCAGCAGCATGGATAATCAGCAGCACAGATAAGTCGCATATCACCAATTAAAGTGTCACCACAGAGATTCTTCTGGTTAGAGATTCATGAGTCTAACAGCCTCAGGGTAGAAGCTGTTCCTCAGGCTAGTGGTTCTACACTTAATGCTCCTCAACCTCCTTCCTGAGGGGAGTGGGGCAAAAAGTGTGTATGTGCTGGGTGAGCGTGGTCCTTCATGATGCAGGTGGCCCTCTTCCTGCATCTGGAGGTGTAGATGTCTGTGATGGTGGGGAGGCTGACTCCAACATCTTCTGTGCAGCCTTCACCACTCTCTGCAAAGCTTTTCTTTCTGCAGCTGTGCAGCCTCCATGCCACACGTTGATGCTGGAGCACAGGATGCTCTCCACTGCACACCTGTAGAAGGAGGTGAGGACTGAGCTTCCAGACCAGCTCGCCTCAGCCGTCTGAGGAAGTAGAGTCTCTGATGAGTTTTAATCGTTTTCTGTTTTCTATCAGATATTTGTTAATCAATGACTGTTCTGGTCTCCATCTGCCCGTCAGACGAGCTCCATTTTAAAACTCTTAAAAACACATTTTTACTCCCGGGCTTCGAGCACAGACTGAATTTGTTCTGCACTGTTTTTATTGATCTTAATGTTTTAACAACCGTTTTATTTTTATGTGTTTTAAAGTTTCGTGATTTTATGTGAACAGCACTTTGTTGCAGCTGTGGTTGTTTTAAAGGACTTTCTAAATAAATTATTATTATTATTACTGTAAAGTCCAAGCTCTGAGGGTTTTTAGATGAATAAATGACAAAGTGCAGGAAAACGTCAGAGCAGCAGAAGAAATCTGATAAATGAAGAGAGCTGAGGCGTCAACAGGCAGGCGTGGTGGAAGTATGTCGACGGACAGCCAGGAAGTTATGGCAGTCACTTCCAATTTCCGGGGCCACTCTGACGCTATTGGCCTGTGTCATGAGGCTCTCACACACACACACCGAGGCCTGGCAGTATTCTGGTCTCAACATTAATCACCGACGCTGACAGGTAATCTGCCGAGGCGCTCCCTCCTCTTCTCCCTCTCTGCTCTTATCTCTCCTTCTGTTTCTCCTCTCTCTGTAAACTGCCAGAAGGATTGCACGATGAAAGATGGCTCTCCTGCCTCCTCCTCCCCATCTTCATCCCTTCACTCGTCTTTCCCCCCACTCCTGTGATGATCGCAGTCACTAACCTCTTCACACCGTTCCATGTCCCTGCCTCCTCCTCTCCTCCGTCCACCCTTTCATCCGTTGGTCGGCCTTTTCATCCCTCTCTCCTCTGCAGGCGTCAGATTCTGTCGCTCCAACTCGTGACAGGAGAGATGAAAGGGTCCAGACATTTGAGTGTGACTGAGACCGAGAGACAAACGAGGGGACAGAGTCCGTCCACCGTGTCTCCATCTTAGTTTAATTTCAAGTTAGACGAGTGTTGCCATGTAGCGCCAAGGAGGAAGCATCAGCACCGCTTTGGTGCCGCAAAGGAGCCATTTTCCTCCCTGACTAATCTAGAACATCTGGGTCTGTTGGAAAGATCTGAGACGTAACGCTACGGTTCTGCAACTTTTTAGCTTTCAGCTACTTTTAGCAAAGCTTTTGGTGGTTTTAGCTACAGTTCTGTTACTTTGAACTATCCTTTCTTTAGGTTTAGCTTTTATCTAACCATTTGCTACATTTGTCCTCAATACTTTTTCTTCTTTCAGTTCGTATTTTCCTCCTTTTAGCTCTTAGTTATCTTGCTGCTATATTCGGCTAATGTTTTTCTGCTTGTCGCTTACATTAAACTGCTTTTAGCTAGTTCTTTGCTATACTTAGCTTTTAGCTGGTGTTTGGCTTATTTTTCCTTCACAACTCATTGTCATCTTCTTCAGCAAAGTTCAGCGAGGTCGTTGGGCGCTCGGCGTCCCCCCGGGACGGAGACGTTCAGATAAACATTCAGGAGCTCGACCACGTGAAGCTTTAATTTCTCAGTGAAAAATGAAATCTGTCCGTCAGCCGGCTGGATTGATTTCTGAACATAAACATTCGAATCCTAAAAGATTCCACAGCCTTGAAATGTTTGCTGCCTGAAAATGTTGAGATTTGATTAAACTTGTTTTTTTTTACGTTTCACTTTTGGTCAAATTTGAAGTTTTTTGTGGATGAAGGAATTTTTATTATTATTATTTTTCCGAACATCTTCGGCCTTGAACATTTCTTGTATGAAGTGTTCACAGAGCCGGGTGTTTATGAGCGCCTCGGGTCTGGATTTGGTGACGTCTCAAACGGTTTCTTCGTGTGTTTGTGCAGCGCCGGAGCAGGAAGGACGGGCTGCTTCATCGCCGTGGACATCATGCTCGACATGGCTGAGAACGAAGGCGTGGTGGACATTTTCAACTGCATCCGCGAGCTGAGGTCGCAGCGAGTCAACATGGTGCAGACGGAGGTAAGTGGAAAACTGCAGGTAAACACAGATGTCGGTCGGTCCGGCAGGTGCAGACCGCTGGATGTGTTTCAGCAACACTCACAGCTTTAGTTACAAACCTTCCTGACACCGTTTGAATCTAAATAAAAATCCTTCAAGTCCTTGAACGCTGAAAACGTTAAAGATTGGACGGAACATTTCTTTAATGAGTTTTTTTGGTTACATACCCAGTTTAAACCCTGCTCAGACATTTTTTAAAGTTTCTGGTCAGTGGTATATTACTTTTATTCTAACTACTGAAGTATAACAAAATGAATCATAAAGTATGATTTTCCACTGCAGGACTTCTCAGAAAGACATTTGAAAAAATAGGTGAGCTCCCAAAGTAGTGTTTTATTCAATGACGTCACTCGAGGCAGCAAGGCATTATTATATTTCATATATCATTAAACACCGAGGTGAACTTTGAAGACTTTCATTACGTCTGTCAGACTTGTCCTCTGAGGATCACAGCTCTGATGAAGAAGAACGTGATGAAGAGCAGACAGAGCTCCAGCTGCAAGACGTTCATCCTGTTTGAGCCAGAGTTGGACGATCCTTCAGCACCCATGCTGTGGATGCTGAACTTTATCCAAATCTTTTTATATTCCAGTTTTCAGGGGATTTTCTTCTTCATTCTTCCTGGAGTGAACTGATGTAGTTACAGCATCTACTGCAGGTGTAGGAGTGGCTGCGCACCTTTACACAGGAAGCTGCGTGCGTTAGTGTTTGTCTAAAGCTCGGTGTGTGCAGACTGACGTGAGGCTGGGACTTAAAAATCATCGTTTAGTTCCAACCAGAGTCAGAGGTTTTATTGTCATTTCAGCCACGTACAAGAACACGTTGAAACGAAACCGCGTTCCTCCAGGATCACGGTGCAACACAGAACATAACGTTCAAGAACAGCACAGTGCAGATACACAACCGAACAATAAAAACAAACAGACTTATAATAAATGCAAGAAGACGTCTAACCTAAACATTTCAGTCTAAACAAGTAATTAAGAGACGAGACTAGAACCACCAGACCGAGTTGTTTTTATCACAACCCGACTCGAAATGATCGATGCAGAGCTTTAAGGAAGAGCTGTGGCTCCTCCCCTTCTGGTTCAAGAACATCATTAAAGTCATCACTTTATTTAAAAGTCCACGCAGTCTTCTCACATGTGGCTCAGACTGAAAGACAAAACAGACACGCTCAGAGGATCTTCAGTCAGTGGACATTTGTCTTTCTGTGGTACCAAACAGGCTCCGCCCTCTTTTTATAAGAGAGAAATTTCTCACCAACAAATAATTTATGAAAATGAATTTAAAAACCCACCTTGGCCCATTGTATCTGATAAGTCTAGGTAACTGTAAAAGGTCTGTTTTGTCCATTTTATTTTGAAAGCAGGACTATTCGTTTCCTGTTTGAGCTAGCTTCTTCGTTTCAAACAGGTGTGCGTTTCACCAGCGCGGAGAAGAACAGACTCCGCTCATGATCTGAGCCTAGAACTGACTTTTGAAATCGCTTTAGATTCATTAAAGTTCTTGTGACATCAGTGATGTTGAATCAGATGTGCACGTGAGGCTGCACGTCTCTCGAAGCCAAGCTGAATGCTTCCTGACCCGCCTGTTTAAAAATGTTTGTGTCTGCGGTTAAATCGGCTCCGCGCACCACAAAGGTGCAGGCGTGTGCACGCCACTCTGAGCTCGTCTGTTCAGGTGCGCACGTGAACGTTACCGGAGCGGTACAGAGAGGTGACGCTTTCAAAACCTCGTCTGTCCGCTCGATGGGCAACGAATCAAAATTCAACCTGAGAGAAGGTTCGAGGCGAACTGATGTGACAGAAATAACAGCTAAACTTCGGCTGGCAGCCGTAAATTAGCGTGTGGTGTTGCAGCTGGAGCTTTGAGCGCTCGGAGCATTTACCAGCGAGCGTTTGGATTCATTTGGATCTGGACGGTGGCTGCAGAGCACATCGCGCAGCCCAAAAGTGACGGTCCTGCTTGCTGCTCAGCAGGCGAGCTGGAGGACCGGATCCAGGGTCAGGACCTGATCCAGGACCGGATCCAGGGTCAGGACCGGATCCAGGACCGGATCCAGGGTCAGGACCGGATCCAGGACCGGATCCAGGGTCAGGA